ATATGAACACAACACATATCAATATTTGTGGGATGAAGCTAAAGCAGTCTTTAGAAATAAATTTATAGATTTAAATACCCATATTAGAAAATAAGGAAGGTATAAAATTAAACCCTTCTGCTTTCATTTCGAGAAACTAGAAAGAGAACAAAATAAACCCCAGATACATAGCATGAATGAGGAAATAGAAATGAGCAGAAATCAATAAAATAAAAAATTTGAATAGTCTTGAAAGTGTTAAAACAAATTGAATTTGTAACTGAAAATCTTAGGACCATAAAAGCCAACTCTGAGAACAGAGTCTCACTTTTCTATTTTCATATTATTCTAGAACAGATGAAAATCAACCTGTGGTCACAGATATCAGACCAGTAGTTTCACAAATATGTAATCAGAGGTGAGGGGAATGACTGAGAAGAGGCACTAGGGAACTTTCTGGGGCGATGGAATTGTTCTTTGTCTTTATATGCAATTCTCAAAGTTGATTGAAAGGTACCTTTAAAACCTGAGCATTTAATTAAATATAAATTATACCTCAGTTTTAACAAAATGAATGGAATTGAAAAAGTTTTTTTGAACATTGTATTCCACCATGTTTTCAGAAATAGTGTAACATGGGTTAAGAAAATTTTCAGAGGCACAGGAATGCATTCTAGTGGATTAGGAAGAGAACTGGGCTCCAAAGGAATATACCAATGTTCAGGAGACTCAGTGAGAAGACCTGTCCTGAGTGATGAGGTGGTGATGAAGGAACCAGAAGAAGCCACCAGGGCATAGAGATTTGAGCAGAGGTAATTTGATTATCTCTCATAATCCCCTAAATCTGAGTCTCCCTAAAAGTTTAAGTCAGTTTTAACAGTGGGGCATAGTATTAGATGTAATGTGCTTTCAGTAGCTCCAGTTATGTCTTCTAATTTCCCTCAGGCACTTGCTGAAACCTAATAAAAGGCTTAAAATGAAAATACAAAGCTACTATAACACTTTAGGATAAAGTAAACTATTTCTATATAATTATTGTTTTAAAAATCAATGTATGTATGAAAACAATGAAGTGTTGATCATTCTTTTTTCTGATAATGTACAAAAAAGAAAAAGAAGAGCCAGTCCAATTCAACACACCTTTACTGAGCATTTAACCTGAGCTAAATCGGTGGCTTTCAAACTTTTGTGACTATGACCTTTAAGAAAAAAAGCAATTTATATAATATTGTAACCCAGCATACACAAACAGAATGTGCCTGCATGCTAGAACACCCTGGTTATGCAATGGTTAAGCAATCCACTGCTAAACTGAAGACTGATGGTTCAAACCCACACGACCACTCTTCTGGAGAAAGACCTGGAGACCTGAGCTCACAAAGATTCTAGCCAAAAAACCCTATGGAGAAATATTATTCATGAAGTTCTATGAGTTTGAAATCAACTCAATGACATGAAGCAACAACGACACTACACACACATACACACATATATTTAAAACAATGTTGTCGTTGCTATTGTTTTTGTGTGCTGGCTAGTCAATTCTGACCCATAGTGACTTTCTGTGATGGAATAGAACTCATAGGATTTCCTAGGCTATAATCTTACGGGAGCTCTGGTGGTATAGTGCCTAAGACATTTGCCTGCTAACCAGAAGGCTGGTGGTTCAAACCCACAAGCCACTTCTCAGAAGGAAGACTGGACAATATATTTCTATAGAGATACTGCCTCGGAAACCCAAGGAGGGGTCGCTATGAGTCAGGATTGACTAGATGGAAGTAAGTTTTTTTTTTTGTTTTGTTTTTCAATCTTTATGGGATCAGATTGCCAGGACTCTTCTCCCCCAGAGTGGGCATAAACTCCCAACTTTTCCATTAGCAGCCAAGTGCCTAACTACTGTGCCACCAGGGCTCCTTCAAACAATGGTATAAAATAAAAGCTAGACTTACTAAGATTCGCTCTCAGGTTTTCTATTGTAGTATATTCTGTTTGCAAAAATGCTGGTTATGATTCAGTAACTAGATTTCACTACTCACTAATAGGTTCTGAATTATGGCTTAAAAAGCATGGTGCTATCCTTGTTACTCAAAATGTGGTCTGTGAACTAGTAGCATCTGGGGACTTGTAAATGCAGAACCTTGGGCCACATAGTGCACCTACTGAATCAAAATCTGATTTTAACTAATCTCCAGATTATTTTTGTGCACTTTCCAGATTTATGCAAGGTAATATAGCAAGACAATACTTGAGACAGAGGAAGAAGTCTTCTTAGAAGTATTTAAGACAGAGGTTCTGACTCAGGGATAGTTTATTTGTTTTTCTTTCTTTTTTTTTTTTTTAAGAATATATATATCTAACTTCCCAACTAAACCTACTAATTCAGTATTTCCAAGGATATCCCAGAACATTTATGTTAAAAAAATAAATAAATGAACAAGCAAAATGTATCAGAGCTTCTAAACTTCAAAACCCAACTTAGGTGGTGCAAACAGTTAAACACTCAGCTGCTAACGGAAAGATTTGTGCTTTGCCAGACATGCAGTCTCCAGGAGTCAGAATCCACTTGATGAAAATGGGTTGGATTTTTTTCCCCATTTCCCCATTGTCTAGTCTAAAGAGTTACATAAAAGCTGTGCACTGATCATTTGTTTATCTGTTTTTCTTCATGTTTTCACAAAGGCACTGACTGGTGCTTCAGTGATGAGAAAATACGTTATTTTTCTTTGCAGGTGAATTCATACAAAGGCATTTTATTGCTGTTCCCATTGATGAATATATTGATGGAGTATTACTGCTGCCTCTTCTGAATTTATTTCTCCTTACTGGAGAATTTCAAAACATCTAGAGTCTACCAATAACTGTCCTTTTATAGGAATATAATGTGACTTCCAGTAGGAATATTATTATAGTTCTGCTGAGTGAGCACATCTCATCCCTGGATTACTTCCAGTAGATCCCTAACCAAGAATCTGTAGTGCAGAAGAAAATGAGCTACCCCTAAGTGGCTATCACGGTTCATTAAGGACCTGCCCATTGTGTTAGTATGTTTCCTGAGTGATGAGAAGTTTTAGCCTGGAAGTTGCTAATCTTGCTAACACTAAAAAGCTCTCTCCCATTAGCAGCTTCTGTGTTGCATTAATAATAAGATAGTAATAAAGAGACCGACCTCAGCTGTTCAGTCTCCCCTGAGGTGAGGGCCTGGTTTCCCTCTTATCCCCTTGGTCCACTGTAATGGTCTGGAGTGTATTAAAGTAATAGATTATGACATAAGTGCTGTCTATGTTATCAGAGTCTAAAATACCTTCTTTTCAGGGAGGAGCGCCTATTTTTTTAGACTTCCAAATTTAAAACTATACCATCAATACATTTGTAATTGAGGTTGATATGTATAATTCATATTTTTTATGAAAGTGCATATTATCAAGTACAGGACAAAAAAAAAAAAGAGGTAGCTTTACAAAAAAATAAATCTATCTACCTTTCCTGGAAGAATTATAAAACAGAGAGCTCGGGATGAGATGTCTTTTTGTTGTTTTATAAAAAAATAGTATCACTCATTTCCACAGAGACAAATAAAAGGAAATCATGGAATGTGCTTTAATAAAATACTAAAAACTCTTGTTAATAGTCACAGAAGAGATGATAAGAAAATATCATATAAAAACAAAATGATTAAGTTGGATTTGATTAAGTTCAGAGTACTAATAAATTGTGTCTTTTTTAAAGTGTAATCTTAATGGGGTTCATAAAAACTTGAGCCAGTGATGGACTTAATTGTTTATTCTCTTTTCTATTGAAAATAATTAACCTTTTGCAAAACTGTACTTTTAAAGGCCTCTTGATTGAAACATCTGTTTTTAAGTATACTTACAGTCCATCCATGGAATAAGATTATTTCTGCAGTAGTTAGGTTGCTGCAGTTTTTCATTGTCAAGTAAAACTATTTTTGCCTTCAATTGCATGTTTTAATTAGGTAACTAGTGATCCATCACCTCAAAAGTCTTGCTCATATTTTATTCCTCACACACAAAATATTAGACATTTTTTTCTGGATTTATACTAGTAAGTCCTGATTTTGAAAGGTTAGTTTTATACTCAGGTTATACAGTGCCTAATTTTTGTACCTGTAACTTAGAAAATAAAAGAATTATCATCAGTAATCATCACAGTGACTGAATAGGTACATTTTATAATAAAATATATATTCATAACCCTCTCACCAGAAACTCTGTGATTGGCTCAGTGAAATATTTATGTGCATTCTAGTTATGTGGCAGTGAAATTCAAGAAATTACAGTACAAAACACCTAAAAGTTGTTTTCTAAAAACTAATAATTAGCATATTTTCTTGTAACTACGGAACACTTTGAAGAAAATAGAAGAAGACATATCTCATAATTCAGGACTTCCCATATATATTTTTAAATGATATGTGAAAACTTTATTTGAATAAGAAAATGTATCATCAAGGAGTGAGAAAATGCCAAGTATTTTTTATAAAGTATATGTTATATATTTCCTTTAGACATTTTGTTGTTGTTGTTGTTGTTTGCCATTGAGTCGGCCCCGACTCAGGGTTTCCGATGCAGTATCACTACGGAAGTAGGAATGCCCAACCTTCCTTCCGAGGAGTGGCTGGTGGGTTTGAACCTCCAGCCTTCTGGTTAGCAGTCAAGTGCCTTAGCCACTATGCTACCAGAGCTCCTTTAGACATGTAACCATCTAAATCTATTTTAATTAATTAACTTTCATATGGTCTATTTATTAGGCAAGCAATTTTGATTAATTCAGTTGTCTAATTGTTTTATTTTTCTTATAAAACACACACCAGTGGGTGGCATATTATTGTTAGAGTTGACCATAAACTTAAAGGAGAAAAGAGGTAAGAAGTTCTTTTGAAGAGCCGATAGCAAACAGGTCCACTGGAAAAGTAGCAGTTTGAACATTGGATAGTGTCAATGTTGTCAGTATTCTACAGACTTACCTGAATCTCTTGTATTTACTTCTCCTCTGTCCTACAGTCCATGAAGGCTCAGGAGAAACCAGCCAAAAGGAGACATCCACCTGTGATATTTGCCAGTTTGGTGCTGAATGTGATGAAGATGCTGAGGATGTCTGGTAACATGCTACTTTTAATATTTTAAACAAAAATATGATGATGACTACCTTATTTTTATTTCATCCATCATTCTCTAAAATAAGGCATTGCTGTCACTTGAGGTGCATTAAGGTGTGTGCCAGCCAGGAGCTCCCCAGAGCATCACTTGATAAGGGAAACCAACATATCATCAAGACTCACCCAAACACTTAATGTTAAGCAATGGGGAGAGTCTTTCTCAAGGCAACTCCATGTGTATCAGAGTAGAACTGTGCTCCACAGAGCTTTCAATGGCCGATTTTGGGGAAGTAGGTTGCCAGGCCTTTCTTCTGAGTCAACTGTAAGTGGACTCCAACCTCCCACCTTTCAGTTGGTGGCCAAGCATATTAACCATTTACCCTACCTGTGCAAACTGGGTAGTCACAGACATTGTGTGTTAGAGCACACTGATAGGAAAGGTAACATTACACAATTTCACGTTTTCAATATTTGCTAGTGACTGTTTCTATAGCTCAACATGATATTTCAAGCTGTTAATTATCGTGCTGTCAATTATTTTACTTTTAAAAATGCACATGGACCCTTCAATTTCTATCTTTCTTTCTTTTCTTTTCTTTTCTAGAGTTTTCATTCCCCTGGGTTTTCTTCTCTTTAATCATCTTTCAGATCATCTTTCAGTTATATAGTGCACTTTTCAAGTACAAAGATATAACAAATAATAATATCTAAAAAATGCTTTGCTAGTGAGTTGATTCTGACTCGTAGTAACCCTGTGAGACAGGGTAGAACTGCCCCCACAGGGTTTCCAAGACTGCAAATCTTTTCCAGAAGCAAACTACCACATCTTTCTCCCACAGAGGTAATAATAGACACAAATTATGGATTGCTTAGTTTGTGCTTGGCCCCTTTATACACATTGTTTTTTGTTTTTTGTTTTTTCCTCAACAGTCTTCAAATTATTAGGTGATATTTCACTTTATAATGAGGAAACAAGAGTTTTCATTTTATTTTTGTGGGGAGTGTTGACTTAGTTCTGGTTTGGAGAATGTTAATTAGGGAGGACTTGATCCAACTTATATTGAATAAACATCATTGTGCCTGGAGTGAAAGAGAATGATGCTGAGGGACTGGAAGCAGAGAGGCTGGGAAAACCAAGCCAAGTGCTTTCAATGTGAGAAAATGGAAAAGTGGGTGGTGCTGGAGTCCATGATCCCAGCACTGGGTATGGTTCTCCACCTGATTCAGATGAGCCTCAAAGCACTCCAGGCTACCTTCTTCTTCTTTCTTTTTTGAGAGTCCCAGAGAAACAGCAAGTTGAGGGCCCAGGCTAAGCATCTAGCACAATGCTCATTTCATTAGGAAAAAAGAAAGAAAGAAAAGTTGCTTTGGAGTCAATTCTGACTCATGGTGCCCCCATTAATGTCAGAGTAGAACTGTGCTCAATAGAGTTTTTGTTTTGTTTTTCCTTTTGAGGAAACTGAGTATTAAAGTTTTTACATGGTAGGGCAGAAATGAAAATATGAGATGAAAGTATCTAGAGGGTGTTAGTATAACAATTCAACTAAAGTTGCAATTAAAATAATATTTCTTTCCTGTCTTGTCTGAAAAATGCAGTGGTCAGATTGCAGGCAGCTTAGATCCTGTGGTTCTAGAGACCTGCAGGGTTACAGCTGATGACTTGGGACATGCTAGCAGCAGACACTGGGAACTCATCCAGCCGAGCAGAGTATCATTCCAGGTGCCTAGGCCGGGGGTTGAGGGGCAGTCTAAAGTGAAGGTAGTCATACAAGAGGATATGGGCAAGGCTGATGGCATCAGAAAGATTCATCACTAGCCATAGAAACCCAAGTTCAGCAGGAGTCTCCTCAGTCATGAAAGAATTGGGTATCAATCAGGAAAACAAATTAGAGACTAAATAGGAAAAGAATAGACAGATACCCACTTACAGGAACTGGTGTTCAAAGCCCGACCTTGGTTACAAGGGGCTGGAATAAGTGCCTGGATCTTGGCAACAAATTACAAGGTCAGAATGAAACCAGCAGCAAGGCTGACTGGATGCTGAATCATTTAGCTTTTGGCTAAGATTTCTTGTACGCCCCCAGCCTAGAGACAAGATAAGTTCCAAAATGTGGAATAATGCTGGACTTCCAGATGGGGGCTAAGTGGCCATAGCTGTGAAGATTAGAGGGATCCAGGGGCAGGGAGCCAAGAAGATCATTATACTTCCCAAGCAAGAATGAAAAGTTGTTAGCGATTCAATAAAATGTACTTAAAATGTCCGATGCAAGCAATAAGGAATGGTACTGAAATGATAAGCGTATTGATTTTTATTTACATAAATACCTTTGTATGTTAACATATTGTAGTTATGGCCATGAAGGGCAGATTGAAAACAGCTGAAGGACATAAGAATAAAGCAAATAAATGAAATTAAATAGGCATGGAATCAAAGAGGCCATAAAGTAGGATAAGCAATAGGGGAGTGATCAGACTCAAGGGCTAGTCAACAGAACATTCACTGAATCGTGGGAGCTTTCACACACTATTGATTTCAGAGGAAACCATGAGCAGGTCCTCTTGAAAACAAAAAAAAAAAATAGCATATGCTGTGTGATACAGGCAGCAAACTCAAGATTTGGTTTTGCTTGTTCTCTCTCATAATGTTATTATTGTATTTGCAATATTGAAATGAAGGTAAAAAATTAATTTTTGATTTTTCTTTAATTTGACCTAAGAAATTAATATTTTAAATTTTACCCCAAGCATAAAGTATAGCTACTAAACTATAATTAATATGGTTACTCAAAGGTGCTCAGATGAAGATGAAGAAGTAGCTCTGTTAGAATTTAAAAGCTTGTACACAGGTCAATTGATCCTGCTTCATGATTAGATGAGTTTTTTAGTTAAAAGTCAGGTCACATGGAGAAGAAAAAAATAGAGAAGGAGAAGCCAAGTGGAATGAGAAGAGAAACAGTAATTACAAGATGGCATTAATAAGTCATGAAACTTGTCACATAACATTTTAATACTTTATTTTATGTAAGTGACTTATAAGCTATTCTACACCCTCCCTTATTTTCTATGATATCATTTAGAGGTATTTTTTTGCCTCAACTTCTTTTCTTCCTATGAAGAACATCAAGAGGTGGAAAATCAGACTATGGTTAGGTTTTCTCAATAAGAAATATCATTGCTATAAAATATTTTTCTGTTATAGATATCGGCCTAAAAGTAGGAGCGGATCAAGCTTTCAAAATAGAGCTAAAAGTGACCAAATGAGAAGTGGTCCACAACACAGTTGCATCTATTCTCCTATCCGGAGCAGGGCTTTATTTCAGATGGACTTCAGAAATAATACATATCCCTGTGCAAAGGGGTATGTATGCCTGTTTGTGGGAAAGGGTTACAAGAAAGAGAAAAGAACTGTAAAGGTTGTTTCTCTTCATGTCTAGACTTAAGAGTTGAAACTAAAAACTAATATTTATATAACAAAGAGATTCTCAAGTATGTCTTTCCAAATATAATTTACAATAAAGTAATAAAGCCCTCTCTGGTAGCACTGGGAATACCAACTTAAGGATTTAGAACAAACATTTTGAGTTGGTTTTGAGAAGCAGTAATTATATCACTAAGTCCAAAATAGGTCAATAGTAATTATTTGCACTGGGAACTATTCCTAAGAGGTAATTAGCCTAGAACTTTTTACTGATTCTGTCAGAAGTCGTTCAGAACCCTAAGGTTGGTTCTTGATTTCATACAAGAAAAGCAAGTAGATAGCTGTGACTGATCACGGTGAAAAACGGGTGTGTGACTGATTTCATGGCTAGCACTGCCAGGGTGTCAGAATAGATCAAGGAAGGGAGCACAGATGTAAGAGCAGATGTAGCTGGGTGACAGATGACATAAAGGAGCAGCTTAAATTATTATCCATATTTGCTTCATACATATGCTTTACAACTCCTTATCCTATTTTAACTTTGCTTTTGTACTATTCTCCACATGTCATTCAGATTCCATTAGCAAAATCATACTGGCTTAAATGCTATTAATTTCTCAGTCATTCATTTTGTTTTTAGAAGCATTAATAGTAATGTTTTCCAGTTTTAGTGTATAACATCCTCGTATTTGACTGCAGCGGTAAGAAAGAAGAAAAGACAAAGTGGTTGCAGTAAGATGAGTCAGAAGAGAGAGTGAATGTGCATCTATTTTTTTCATTATTTCACTGATGTTCCATAACTGACACAGGGTGTGGGATTTGGCATTCCTTTTGTGAGTGTCTCTTATAAAGACGATTTAGTTTGAAGTCTTTAACATCTTGCTCCTTTGATCTGAGAAGGCTCCTTGTCACTAGGAAGACTGTGTGTTGCTGGCATCACTCCCATCTTTAATGCATTTTGGACCACAGAGACTCATGAATATTTTAAGCAGGTCAATGGCCATGGATGATCCTTGGTACTAGATTTCACCATACATATAAGTAAATTAGACATTACGTCCTGCTGACTTTAGTATGTTTAGGTTTTGAGTTTAATAGGGAAAATTAAGACACCTCTGAGAAAAATACAGAAAGTGATTTCTTTTAAAACTACTACTGGTAGACAATTGAACAGAAAGACTGTGTTGCTAGTGGAAAGTTTCCAGTTGTTTCCTACTAAGTAAAAAGATCAGTTAGGGTTGTATTGGAATATTCAACTAAGAGGCTGCTGATTGGTTGCAAAATTTAAGTGAATTGAAAGTTCTTTCAGTCTTCCCTAGGGTGTCTCCTTTTTATTGATACCCTTTAGTCTATGGCCTCAGAACTGTAAATATGGTAACCAAACTCACAGCTGCCTTCTAGCATGAGTTACTCATGGAGACGATCAGGAAAAACAAAACAACGGAGTGTAGGTCTGGGCATAGAAACCCAGGTTGTTTTTGTTGGATTTATTTATGGCTTTCTGAGAACACTTTTTCAATCCAAATTTCCTGCAGTTGGGTTACTGCTGCCTCAAATTGCTTCTTATCATCCACCGTGAAGACA